ACAGTGAAAGTTTTAAATCTAATAAAAGCATTTGAGTGCAGAGTAAAAAAAACATACACAGAGAAGTTTGATTTGGATTCAGGTTTTATTAATGTTCTTTCATTGCAAAATGTTTCCAATTAAAAAACAATCCTGAGAGCGCCACATTAATAAACTGCTTGTCTTTCTGAAGAGTCAGAAATTTTGAAAGGCAATGGTGGACAAACACATGCACATACACGGTGCTACCAGGAGGTTAATCCAAAAATGTCTGTTCCAAATTGGGGCTTGTGGGGTCAGACTTGGAGAAAGATGAAAACATGAGGCTGAGCTTAGATAAAAAGCACCTGAAGCTTATTCAGCATCACCTGATGTGAGGGCCCCCAAATAACACCCACCCTTCCTCATAATGTATCAGCAGGGATCAACAAAAACTGCAATATGCCAGGCCTCAGTTTCTCCATTTGTGGAATGAAGGTTCAGTGGTCTGAGAATTTCAGGATTGCTTGGGGGAAACTTGATAGTTCCCAAAACTTCCTTATCCTTGCTTTTAGGGAGAAGTTAACTAAATCTGAAGCTGATTATCAATGAGAACAAATCACAGTTGGAACCTGTCAAGCCAGGGACTGGTGCTTGTCTGCTTGTTTGCAAAGAGGAACTAGTAGTTTGATTCCAAACTGGAAGTTTGCAAAATAGCTATACTTGTAACATAGGCAGCGGTGGAGGTGGGGGTTGTCAGATTATTTTAAACAGGTGGTTCTCAAACTTTGTTTGCCAAATTGAATGGTAATCAGTTCCTTAACTAATTCCAACAAGTTGTTTTTAGAATAACTGGTCATTTTAGTACTTCACTATATCCAAGTGTTGGCTTTTCTGCCCCCACAGGGTGTTTTAACTTTGGTAAGGAAAAATAATCCTAACTCCCCCTTGTCTGGATTACTTGAGCTCTCTGCTGAGGCCTGGCCTGCAGGTTGGGTCAGTTTGAGGGAGTTAATAGTTCCTTAGGAAACACTGATTCATGCCTGGGGGCCCAGGAATGCAGGTCCTCAGGGGAAAGCTAAAGCACCTCCTCCCACAAAGGCAAGAAGCACAGGGTCTTTGTTCCAGGAGGGGGTCAGAAAAGAGTTGGGCTGGGCTGGGTTTTAACTGCAGATTTGGAAGCTGAATATGCTGGTCAGACTCCCTAGGGTCCCCACTGTTCTCTCCCCTCCAGGTCCAGGTTTTCCTGCCCGCCCCGTCCCTAGCCCCCAAGATAACTGAGCCTGGAGACCCCTTAGTCAGGCCAGATATCTGGGGCCAGGTTTCAGAGCTTTCCACTCCCAAAGGGCTCAGCAGCTCAAAAGCCTGTTTGGAGGTCTGCTTTTCCAACCAAAGGAAGAGAGGAAGGTAATAATTAACTCATGCAGTTTTTGGGAACCGGAATCCCACTCCAACTTGCGCTTCTCGAACTTATGGTGTGCCACTCTGACTTTTGGGGTCCAGCGTCAGGTCTGGGGCTGATTTCTCGAGGTGGGAGAGTCCATCTGTTACCCAACTCATGAGCCTATGACCCCCCACCCATTCTCTTGTCTGCGCCGGGCAGCAGCCCCCAGTTTCCTTGGCTGCCTTGGTCTGGCAGTGACCACCACTGGGGCTCTCTCCTCTGCACCTTCCCAGGGCCTGGATGGCCTTTGAGTAAACAGATAGCCCAGCGAGGTATGTGATCAATTAGCTTTGCTGAAAATACAATCATTTTGTTATTCCAAGCTGATGAGAAGGTCTCTTCGGCCTGCTCTCCCAGCCTCCACATGCCAATCAGCCTGTGTCACCGATATAATTTTCCACATAAACACAACCTTTGTGCAACATCTACTCTTGTAAATAGAGGTAATTCCCAAACCAAATAACGCACTTGGAGGGGAAATGGATATTATGCATGCAAAAAGAAAAGCCGGCGATTTTTACACTTTCCAGGCAACAAAAGATTACCCCTAATTGCGAATGGGCGGGGGAGGGGCGGCGGCTGCTGGGAAGCAGGGAGGCCGGCTTCCAGGCAGGTTTTTTTTTCTCTCCCTCTGCACATGTGTGTGCGCGAGCGGGACCACCAGGAACTGCTTAACCCGGGATCTGTCCTGTTTAGGCAACCGGGAGAACGTGGTGGTGGTTGTTGATATCTTAAAGGAAACGGCGAGTTACTTAATTATAAGGTTTGGTCTCTGCCAGGAGAGACCCCCTCCAAACCTGAAACTATGCATCCTGTTGAACTGTCCCCCTAGACTCCTGGCCAGGAATGGCCTCGGTAGACCGGGAAATGTGTAAGTTCCTCTGAACTGCACTGGTGTGCCGTTAACAATGTTCTGCTTTAAGTGCATCCCTAAATTAGACCTTGAAAGCAGCGGAAGTTCCCAGGCGGAGGGGAAGGAGAACGCCACAGAACCCACTGTGTAATCCTGGCCAGGTTCTGGGCACTAGCTGCCCCCTGGGCTCCCTGAATGCCACGGAAATAAAGGCTGGGGTGCCCCCTCTTGCGTCTCGTACCCCCTGGTGCTGGCGGGTAAAAAGCCCTTTTTTGGGGTCATGGCCCTGGTGGCTTCCCAGGCCAACTGCTGGGGCATCTGGAGTGCTCCCAAAGGAAGGAGTATTGGGGAGGAGGTGGCTACAGCATCGCGGAGCTGCCTGTGTGCAGTGGGCTGAGGACCCCAGTCTCCCAGACCCCATACCCAGTGGGCTCAGGGCCTGCTGCAAGTCTCACTTTTGAGCCGCCTGCATGTGGAACAGCTTCCAGGCATTCCCCCCAGCATCTGGACTGAGTCACAAAAGACGGTTTCTGATCAGGACTTTTCCTGCAAAGATGCTTCTTTTAGCAGATGAGTAATGGTATTGTAACAGGGTGGTCCCCAGGAAAGGGGGAAGTTCTAGGTTCCCTGCCCCACCCAAGGGAGGGACAGTATCTTGGCCTCCAGGTGAATCGAATGCTTTCATGGGATGCTTCTGGGTCTTTATTTCCTCTAAGTTCAAAACTGATTGAGGAGATGGGGGCGCTGTCTGAATTTGGGGGAGAACACAGGCGGGCAGAGAGACCAGGGCTCCTTCTGGTCTCTCTGGGCTGGGAGGGGTGGGTGGCCCTGTAACATTTCATCTACAAAAGACTTTTCTTTCTGACCCCCGCCCCCATCCCTCCTCCTGCCCACTGAAGCGGGGCCTAAGAACCCTTATCCCCCAGCTTCACCCCTCCCGGCTCCTGAAGGCCATCTGAAACTCATTAGCTGTTTGAAATGATTGTCATGGGGGCCCTTGATGGAGAACAAGAAAGGGAGAGAAGGGATACTTTTAAAGGACAGCAATCGGGACCCAAATGCTGGCAGATGTTTGGAAACCTTGTTGTTGAGGAGGGGCCTCCCCGAGGTGTGGGAGGGGGGCAAATTCCTCCATGACCCTGGACAAGCCCCCATCCCCCTATGCCTTTGTCTCAGGGCAGCTCCTGAAGACCAAGCTGGCTAAGCCGCTGTTTTCTGGTCCCCTCCAGGAGGAAAGATGGGGCTGCCGTTGGACAGACCACCTGATCCGGAGGGCAGCTGTGACACTTGATTCTTGGCCAGTTAGTTTAATTCCTGGACTTTGTAGATGGAGGTGTTGTAGAACTGTTGTAGAGCAACCCCGATACAAACCGGGGTGCCTGACTGTGGGTCCTCACCCGCGCGCTTTAAAGGACTTATCAATGCTCTACTGCAGGCACACGTGAAAGGTTAATAAAAGGTTTATTTACAAGGGCAGGGGAAATGAGGAAATGTACAGCTCTGGGAGAAAAGAGGGAGACAAAGTTTTAAATGAGTCCTACCCAATCCGCCGATCAGGAATCCCAAAATGGCGCTCTCAGAGTTGGCTGCCAGCCAGGAGCCGAGCGATCGCGGGCCAGCGAGAGCCCAAGGCCCACGTGTTTGGTTTTTATATCCAACCTGGCTGCCCAACTCCACCCTCAGGTCCCAGCCACCCTCCCTTTGGTGGTGATGGGATTTGTCTTTCCCAATGTCCTGATGGCTTTAGTCTGGAGTGGGGGTGGGGTCCACAAAGCCTGTATGGGATTAACTCAGGACATTATTTCCCCCTAACAATTCCCCCCTTTCGCTTTTTTTTTTTAATTTATTTTTTGAGGCATGTTTTATTTGTTTGTTTTTGTTTATACATGCACTGGGTACAGTCAGAAGCACGGGAGGGTGAGAGAATTCACCAGAGCCAGAGCGGGGTGCAGAGCAGGCAGAAGGACTGAAGTACACTGCTGAGGGGAGCAGCGGGCGGCAGGAGAGGTCTGCGCGCCATGCGGGACCCTCCTCCAGTGGATGGGGAGCAGCCGGGGATCGAACCGGTGCCGCAGAGGCCGCGGGCAGCTTCGCAACCCAGCGCTCAACCGCTGCGCCACTGGGGAGGCCCTCCCTTTCGCTTTTTGCCACCATTTCCATGGTGATGAAGATCAAACATATGGATGCTGGGATACAGTCTCAGATGAAAATTTTGCAGGGTTCCAGTCTGAAAGAAAACGAATCCCTCCAGGTATTGTCCATTGTAGAAAGCAAAAGTCCTCTATTCCTGGAAAAACAGTTCATCAGTCCAAGCCGAAAGAAAAACATCTGGAGGCATTAGCCAGAATAAGACAGCAGATATGTCAAAATCACAGGAAAAAAAAATATTAAAATGGTTTAACTTATGTAAAAACAAATTTCCCCCCAACAGAGCAACCCCGATACAAAACGGGGTGCCTGACTGGGTCCTCACCCGCGCGCTTAAAAGGACTTATCAACACTCCACTGCAGGCACACGCGAAAGGTTAATAAAAGGTTTATTTGCAAGGGAAGGGGAAATGAGGAAATGTACAGCTCTGGGAGAAAAGTGGGAGACAAAGTTTTAAATGAGTCCTACCCGATCCGCCGATCAGGAATCCCAAAATGGCACCCTGAGAGCTGGCCGCGAGCCAGGAGCCGAAGCCAGGAGGTGAGCGATAGCCAGCCACCCCAAGGCCCACGTGTTTGTTTTTTTTTTTTCCCTGCCATACACAGTCTGCTTATCTCTATTTTGAGAATAAAAAACAGTTCAAGATACATACATATGTACAGACACAGCAAGCTCACAGGTTGCTGGTAGCTTTGCTCCCACTCTGGGTGGCGGGACCAGTCAGGAGACGAGGAGCTGATTCACCCCATGTGGGGTTCAGGCTAACAGGGCAGGGAGTCACTGCTTTGAAGCCAAACTGGAAGGGATGGCAAGCCCTGTCCCCTTGTTCCAAGACCATCTCCCATAGGACGGGCTGATGGGGAGCGAGGTGGGGAGATGGACATGCCTCAGTCAGAGTCGCAGGTCTCTTGTTCGGTGGTGGCATTCACTGCAGAGGCCAGCCTGTCCTGGCCTTTCAGCCTCTCACGGATCAACTCAGCAATGGCTCTCTGGGTTCGCTTTTCTAGCTTCTCTAGCTTCTTGGCCACATCTCTCTTGAGGTCCCAATCAGGCTTGCGGGGCGCGAGGTTGGCCAAGTCCACTTCTTCAATGACCGGCTCTGGCTTGGCAGCCTCCAGCTGTTCCTTCACCTTTTCTTCCACTGCAACTGGTTTAGCCTGGGGCACCCTCCTTCTCTTCAGGTCCTCATCCTCTGGGACATAGTTTCTCAGCCTAAGTTCCCTGTGCTTCTCCCCTTCTCTGAGCTTCTTGGTCTTTGGCTCCCCATCTTCTTTGTCCTTGCGCCCGGTCTTCTCCCGAAGGGACTTCAGGCGTTCTTTTCGCCTCAAAGCTGCTTCTTCCAGCCGGCCCATGCTGGCCGCAGTAGCTGCCATCTTGCCCGCGGGCCTCCTCCTCCGTGTTTGGTTTTTATACCCAACCTGGCTGCTTAACTCCACCCTCAGGTCCCAGCCACCCTCACTTTGGTGATGGGATTTGTCTTTTCCAATGTCCTGATGGCTTTAGTCTGGAGTGGGGGTGGGGTCCACAAAGCCTATATGGGATTAGCTCAGGACATCCTTTCCCCCTAACAGAGGGACTTCCTGTTTGTAATAGCAAAATCATAAAATTAGAAAATAAAGATCGAGACATGTTGGAGTTAATGAGAGCATATAATGTGAAAATCATGGAACCAAATCTTGGGATGCTAGACTTCAAGATCTAGAACTTGGAATAAACATCTGTAGCATCTTAGAAATGCACAATATTAAAATCGTAGACTTCTGGAATTCTTAAAATAATTCAGAGAATCAGATTCTTTAGATATTCGGTAGCATAAAACATTAGGATTATGGAATAAAAATTTTAGGATATTGGACTTCTCAAGCATTAGAGATATAGAAGAAATAAACTAATGGAAATCCAGAATTGTGGTCTTAGAATCATAGGATGCAAGACTGGTGGAATGTAAGAATATTAAATTAAGGAAATATTGAATGATATAATCTTAGAATCACAGTATATAGAAGCATCTTGGAATGGTAAAATTAGAGCCATAGACTTCTACAATCATAGCAGTTTTTAATTAGTCTCATTGGATTACAGACTTAGACTCAGTGCATGAGAATCAGCAAATGTCTGTTTTGTTAGAGAAGTATAGGATCTATGAACTACAGAATTTTGGAATTATATGCTTTTGGACATAGCCTTGAGGAATTTCAGAGGCGCAACAAGGGATTTAGAGGTCAAACTGTTGTAGAGCAACCCCGATACAAAACGGGGTGCCTGACTGTGGGTCCTCACCCGCGCGCATAAAAGGGCTTATCAATGCTCTACTGCAGGCACACGTGAAAGGTTAATAAAAGGTTTATTTACAAGGGCAGGGGAAATGAGGAAATGTACAGCTCTGGGAGAAAAGTGGGAGACAAAGTTTTAAATGAGTCCTACCCGATCCGCCGATCAGGAATCCCAAAATGGCGCTCTCAGAGTTGGCCGCCAGCCAGGAGCCATGAAGCCAGGAGGGGAGCAATCGCGAGCCAGAGAGAGCCCAAGGCCCAGGTGTCTGGTTTTTATATTCAACCTGGCTGCCCAACTCCACCCTCAGGTCCCAGCCACCCTCCCTTGGTGGTGATGGGATTTGTCTTTCCCAATGTCCTGATGGCTTTAGTCTGGAGTGGGGGTGGGGTCCACAAAGCCTGTATGGGATTAACTCAGGACATCATTTCCCCCTAACAATTCAACCCCACTCCTAGCCTAGCCCAAATCTTCACCTATGCTTACTCCCCTCCAAGCCCTCCCCCCACAAGCCCCTGGCCACCCTGTGCTTGTGTCTAGACAGGACAGTTGAATTTTTTGTCCTCTCCTAGAGCTGCCCACTTTTTTTTTTTCTTCCTCTCTCACCACAAGTTCCTTCCATGCTCTGTATTTTGAGGTACCATTTCCTTTTTCATCCAGCGTCTTGATTCCCCATGCCTGTGCTTTGCGGGACAAGACATTCAGTGATTAACATGTCAGGGAACTTAAGCTCTGTCCCCTTTGGGGGTGTAGTAGGGGGAGCAGGAGGAATGGGGCAGATGGAATGTGACCTCTGTCCCAGACACAGGAGCTAACAGGTCCAGACATGAACCTGCACTGCCCATTCCTTCTGGAAGGAGGTGGCAGCCATGAAAGCTGAGAGACCTGTCCTGTCTAGGTGAGAAGAGACTGGAAATGCTAAAGCATTTCATGCTTATTTGTTTTATGATCCTCACAGACTGGGGTTTACACAAATTGAACAGCATGTGGATTAGATAGTTTGTTGAGAATTAACAGCTTCTGATGGTTATCAGTTTTGGAGGTGATGGAAACTGGGTGGAGGTAGATGGTTGAGCAATGAATTGCTATGTCCTCATCAGTGTTCAGAGATGTGGAGGGTCATCACCAACTATAAATCTCCGGAGGGCATGTGGTGCCAGGGGGGGATGATCAGCTCAGCTCCAGGGTAACACTCGGGAGTCTATTACAACATTTAGGAATAAACCAAAAGCAGTCAGTTTCAGAAACACCCTGGCACTTAAGAAAATATTCACTTTCCAGTGAATTCATCCAACACTCAAAGATCTAGCCAGAGATGAACAATTTAAATATGGAACCTCATTTTTGAATTCAAGCATCATAAAGACAGGGTCTGTGCAGTGGCCACATGAATGACTGTTTCTCGAACAGTCTTTTCTCTGGCTCAGTTCACACCCCATGTTCACCTCAAGTGCCCCAAGACTTTAGGGAGGGAGCAGTTTAAGTTAGAAATGCTAAGAAATCTTGGCAGTTTTCCCCACAGATGAAACTTTGTGAACAATCCTGTTCACCAATTTAAAATCTTTTGTTAAAATTGTTTAGAAACTGTGAAGCCCCAGATCCAAAAGCAGTGCCCAGCTGCTTGTAGGAATAGCATTTCCATGTAGCCGAGATTTTTCTAAAACTGAAATGCCTGCCTCAGAGGCAGAACAATTTCAGCCCAGGTACACCAGCCCAGCCTGCCTGTGGTGTACTGGGTGCCTTCAGGCTATTAGGCCCTCTCTCCGGGCCACAGTAGGCCCACCTACAGATAGGAAGTGGATTAAATAATCTTAATGTGGGAGCAAAAATATTAGAAACAGGAAAAGAACAATTTGGCTTTGTTTTTGAGTTGAATTTCAAATTAGTTAGGCCACTGTTTCTATTTATTTTTGAAGCAGTTCAACCAAGAATTACTATTTTCTTGGCTCTAGCTTTTGATTTCCAATGCTAAACAACACAACTAGGACTCCACGCTTCTTCGACTACTGACTGTGGGTTTTGTTCGCATTCCTCATGGTGAAGAACACTGGGTTAACACAATGACAAGGCAGTTGCCCTTGCAATTCCAAAAGAGTGAAATGAGCTAATGGATGGCAAACTGGGTGTCAAGGAGTCTCTTGTTGTGAATTTTCCTATCTGTAAAATGAGGAGGGGATGGAGGCAGGGAGAAGTCTAGATATTGAAAGTCTAGATCTTGTCCTTCTGCTCCAAAACAGTCCAAGTTTCTGCAGATTTAGTCCTTAGTCTAAAGGGGTTTGGCTACATTTGCCCTGTTACATTTTTTTTTTTAAGATTTATTATTTATTTTATACAAGCACTGGGTACAGTCAGAAGCGTGGGAGGGTGAGAGAATTCACCAGAGCCAGAGCGGGGAGCAGAGCAGGCAGAAGGACCGAAGTACACTGCTGAGGGGAGCAGCGGGCGGCAGGAGAGGTCTGCGCGCCATGCGGGACCCTCCTCTGGTGGCCGGGGAGCAGCCGGGGATCGAACCATCACTGCAGAGGCTGTGGGCAGCCTCGCAACCCAGCGCTCAACCGCTGCGCCACCGGGGAGGCCCTGCCCTGTTACATCTTTAGCCTCAGGGGCCACCCTAGCTGATTCCAGCGATGTGAGGGGTGGGACTGCAGGAAACGGAGAGCCTTTACAAAGGCAACAATGGCAGATCCCTAATTTGTGGACAGTCCCTTATACCGTGAGTCTGAAAGGCCAAGGAGGGAGTGAGGACCCTCTTGGCTATGTAGTCCACTGAAAGTCCATGGACCCATCTGCAATGAAGGAGTTAGAGGCAAATGAGGGGGCTATGCTGGGGGCTTGGCGATCCCCTAACAGACCTGATACAGGGCTGGAGGGCTCAGGCTGTGTGGACAGTGAGGCAGGCTGGACTGGTGACAGGCCATCGGGGGGGGACTGGGTGTGGCCTCCTTATTCTGGCTTTCTCCATTATTGAATTGAAGCCCAACTTAAGCAGATGGCAACAGTGCATAGAAGGACTTCTATGGTGGAGTTGGGTGAGGTTTATTGCTGAAACATTTGAGACTGAATCTCTGGAAAGACCAGGGTTGGAGAAGGCTGAGGGGAGGTGGGTTAGTATTGGCTCGTTTGACTGCAGCCCCAGACCACTTGGTTTTGCCAAAATAAGCTGTCAGCACAGCCCTGACCAACTTCCTGGGTCCCACGGTTGATCATTATAGACAAAGACCCGTCAGTTCCTCCAGCGATGGGGCAGTTTAGACGAGCAACAAGACGCTCCACGAAACAGTCGGAGTTACAAAAGATGTTGGGGTGGGAAATGCAACAAACAGCCTCAGTTAAGAGCAACCATGAAGTTTCCTTGGCTATTATACAAGGGACCAACCAGTCAGGTCACCAGTCCAACGGCTCCCTGCTATCCTGGCTTGAGAGGTCCAATGGAACCACTGCATGATGGTCCTTTGGTCCAGTCCAGTGATGCTGTGACCATGCACACTGCATGTCCTACTTGCAGACCTAGCCAGAGACTCCCCTGCGGGGCAGTACTGCAGGTGCCTCGGGGGGGCTGCCCGAGGGGCTCTGGGACTCTGGGGATATTTCCCTGTCACCTGACCTCCCTCCTCAATGCGTACATGTATTAAAATCAATTCAAATGAAACAAACCTCTCAATCTGTAAATGTTTCTCAGTTAATCTGCCTGGTAGAGAATGAAGTTACTGTCTCTTAAGGGTGATAAAGAAGGGGGGGTGCCTCCCTGGTAGTGCAAGGGGTTAAGACACAAGCTATGAAGTTATTTGCAGCCATTGCAGCATGAGTTTGATCCCCAGCCAGGGAGCTACCCACATGGCACAGCAGACCTCTCCTGACTCACCCGCTGCTTCCTTCAGCAGTGTATTTCAATCAATCTACCTGTTCTGTTCCCCACTCTTTGGTGAATCCTCTCACCCCCCATACCTCTGGCCTGTACCCCAGATCTTATATGCATAAATCTTTTTTTAAAAAAGGGGGCAAAAAAAAAAAAATGGGAGGAGAATGCAAAAGGACTTAAGCAATAAGGAAAAGTGGAAAGAATAAGCGCCCAGCACAGTAGGGTGCTTTACAGAGAACATGCTGTAGGCTTTTTTCAGATCCATTAGTTCATAACCACCCGGGGGAAATTAGGCCCATTTGGGAGATGGAGAGGTCGAGGGTCCAGAGCAGGAAGATGCTGGTGGACCTGGGATAGCGTCTCTGTCGCCTGCCCCTTGTCTCTTGATGTCAGAATACCATTGCTAGGAGCGCTGAGTGGGGCTTGGGAAGCATGCAGCCTCACCCTTCCTCGTAGGGGTGAGGGAAGAAAGCGCAGACTGAAGAGCCAGAATCCTTACTGGAAGAGCCTAGGATTCCAGGCGATTCTCCTGCTTTCTCTAAATGGAACGTCTCCCAGTGGCAGAACTTTCTTCCTTGTGTCTACCCATTCTGTCTCTTGCTATTGGGCCAGCCTGGAAGCACCTTCTGGCAGCCATCCTCCAGAGGGGGAGGGTAGTGTGCCAGGTAGGCTTGGCCTGGGAGTGGGCTGGAAATTCTTCTCTCCCTGAGGGTAGCAGAGGGTCTGGATGGAGGAGAGTCCAGAGGGCCGATTCTGTGTTTGGTGAATAAACAGTGGAGTCGAGTTTCTAGCCTGTCACTCTGCAGCCTTTCAGCAAGCGAGAGGCCAGGTGGGCCAGGGAGTTCCCTGCGGGCGGCACACGGAGAGGCCAGGGTCTGTAGGGCAGGGGCCTGGGCAGGGTTGCTGTGGACAGCCAGCAGAGTCCACCTCTGCAGGCCACAGGACTTCACACCTTTGAAAGGCTCCAGAGTGGCCTACAGAGAAAATAAACTGTTCCTCCCATCCATGGCAGGTCGGCCATCCTTGGGGAGCCCCTTGTCATGCGCACAGAAATCCTGTAAAATGGCCCAGCGTTTTCTTTCCACTCCCCAAAAGGACACGTGCTAAGCCCCATGAGGACTGTGGGGTTGTGTGAGGGTGCTTTATCCACGGCCAGCAAGGCCTGATTCCAGCCCTTTGCCCCCTGAGATAAGCCATCCCAGCTCTGAGACTTAATGTACACATCTGGGAAATGAGAATGAAAATCCCTTCGTGCGTTTGATGGTGAAGCAGGCCAAGATGCAAAACTGCTCAGTTTATAGGCATTTGATCAATGTCAAGACCAAGAGAAAGTCTGATCCCTTCGGAGCCATGTTGTCTCTGAAGTGGGGTTACTTCCTTTATGGGATCAGACAAAGGGCTTAGCACAATGCTTGACACACAGAAGGCTTTCCAGTGGCAGCGCCTTCCTCTTCTCCCCTCTGGGTCTCCAGGGCATCATATCGCCGCATGAGAAAGGTTAACAGCTCTTGACCCTCCAGGCGAGAAAGCCATGAGGATGAACTCAATGCCACAAGCACCCACTGAGCGTAGTGGTGCCACGGAACTGTAGGAGAGGCTAGGTCAGGGCCTTGAGAAAGGGAGGTGCTGGCTGCTTGTGGGTAGCAAGGAGGCCTTTCCGGAGTTCTGCCCAAAGTCACGGGCCAGTCTTTCCTACCAGCTGTGGTTTGTTGCAAATCCTTGACACCCCAATTGCTGCTGCCTCTCAGCAAGTTGAGATACCCCCAGAGGTGCCCTTGTTCCACCCCATCTTCTCAGAGCTGAGAGGAGATGGCAGAACTAGGCCCAAGGGGTGTGTGAACTTGAATAGCTTCAGTACTGACACACTCCACCAGGGGAGTGTCTCCAGGCGTGGAGGGTGTCACCTGCTGTGACACAGCAGGTGTCCAGCAGTGGCCACTGGCAGACCCTATGATAGGCACAGAAGAGGATGTGTTACTGGGTGGGAGGTGGGCAGAGCTGAGAGGTGGCTTTGGAGTTAGCGCGCTGGGGCTCCAGGTCTGGCTTTGTGATTCACACCTGAACGACCTCGGGGTAGTCTCCAAAACTGTAAAGTCCTGATTTCCTCATACAAGATCAGCAATAATTCCTTGAAAGAGTTGTCTTGGAGACTAGGGACAATGCTTGGAAAGCACTTAGTATAGTGCGGGAAGCGTGTGGTGTCCCCGTCACTGTCTAGGATCAGGCAAGCTGAAATCGGTAATGGATTAAGATCCTATATTGCGGGCCTCCCTGGTGGTGCAGCGGTTAAAGTCAGCCACTATCAAGCTAGCCTAGCCACTGCGGCATGAGTTCAATCCCGGGCCAGGGAGCTGACTCACATGGCACAGCGGACCTCTCCTGACTTGCCCACTGCTCCCCTCAGTATATTTCAGTGGATCAGTTGTAGAGCAACCCCGATACAAAACGGGGTGCCTGACTGTGGGCCCTCACCCGCGCCCATAAAAGGACTTATCAATGCTCTACTGCAGGCACACGCGAAAGGTTAATAAAAGGTTTATTTACAAGGGAAAGGGAAATGAGGAAATGTACAGCTCAGGGAGAAAAGTGGGAGACAAAGTTTTAAATGAGTCCTACCCGATCCGCTGATCAGGAATCCCCAAAATGGCGCTCTGAGAGCTGGCTGCCAGCCAGGAGCCGTGAAGCAGGGAGGCGAGCCTGAGACCCCAAGGCCCACGTGTTTGGTTTTTATATCCAACCTGACTGCCCAACTCCACTATCAGGTCCCAGCCACCCTCCCTTTGGTGGTGACGGGATTTGTCTTTCCCAATGTCCTGATGGCTTTAGTCTGGAGTGGGGGTGGGGTCCACAAAGCCTGTATGGGATTAACTCAGGACATCATTTCCCCCTAACAGATCTGCCTGTTCTGCTCTGCACCGTCTCTGAATCCTCTCACCCACCGCCCCCCCCCCCACCTCTGGCCTCTACCCCAGTTTTATATGCATAAATCTTTTTTTTTTTTTTGGGCCGGTCACTAGAGGTTTATTACGAGCAGACCCTCCCGGTGCGAGGGACACGAGCAGAAACACGCAGAGGGTGGACACGGGGACAGGTCACTAGAGCTTTATTACGAGCAGACCCTCCCGGTGCGAGGGACACGACCAGAAACACGCACGCAGAGGGTGGACACGGGGACAGGCCGCCGGGGGCAGTTTGGGGGACGGCGAGGGGGTGGCACGACGGGGGCGGGGGAGACGCGTCACCCCGAGAAACGGGGAAGAGCTGCGACTCAGTCTTGCGTCAAGCACATAAAACTGCGCTATTTAACGTACTTCTCCATGCACTTCTTGTGGAACTCGGAGCGCAGCGTGTCGTTCACGAACCGCTTGTCCTTCTGGTCGTCGGCGCCCTTGGCGCAGTTCTTGAACACCACGTCGTCGTCCCACCTTCTTTTGACCTTGACGTTGGCCTGCGGCTGGGCTGGCCCGGTCAGATTCAGGAGCGGGTTTCCACCGAGGGTATTTTCCGTTCGAATCCTTTCTTCTTCAGCTTTTTGTTCTTGCTCCTTCCTGGCCTGCTCCTCCGCCCTCTCCTTTTTGATCTTCTCCAGCTCGGCGAGGAGGGCCGCAGTGTCGTCATCACTCTCGTCCTCATCGTCCTCACCTGTCAGAGGGTCGTCCGCGTCGAGGTTCGCAGCGGGAATCTGGTCTACCCGAGGCCTCCCTGACGCTGACGAGGAGGTGGTATGTTCCCGAGCTGGCCGGCCTCTGTTCTTCTCTCGAGCCGCGGCTCGCGCCCTCTCCTCCAGCTCCCTCCTCCAGTCCCGGTTGCGAACCTCCTCAGGGGCATCCTGAGTGGCTTGTCGGTATTTTACCTTCGTGTGGGAGGGCAGGTCGCGGCTGGAGCACTGCGTGGAGAGCTGGCTCAGGTCCCCTTCGCCTTTCCCGCGACCCCCTCTGGCAGGCGCGAAGGTCGGCCTCGCCGCGGTCGTCATCCTCAGGCCTCAGCGACGCGACGCGGCCCGGGTCCTGGGCCTCGCAAGAGCCGCTGGAGGCTGCGTTTCGGGGGCAGGGGGTGACGGGCCGCTCCGCTGGCCGAAGCCCGACGCGGCAGCCGCCGAGCTCACACTGACGCCAGGGAGGGCCATGCTCCCGGCAGCCTCCGCGCCGGCCCCGCCCAGGCCCGGAAGCGAACCGCGCGCCGTGTGGCCCCGGGCGGCGGCCAATCGGCGGCGGGCGCGCCGGAAGTGGGCGGGGCGGTGGCCGGGGGCGGGCCCGGAACTCATAAATCTTTTTTTCAAAAAAATTTCCATGTGCCTAAGACCCCACAGAATTTCAGAATTTTATTAATGTCCAGGATGAGAAGTTCCTAGAACAGGAGCGGGCTAACTTGCTTTGCAAAGGGCCAGGTAGTAAATAGTTGGGGGCCATAGGGTCTCTGTCACAGTGTAGGGTAAAGAAAATGTCAGGCTTTTCTGCCCTCCCGCCATCAGGATAGATGATGGATCCTTGTCCTGAATGCATGTCTGATGGCGGGCACCTGGAATACAGTGTGGGCATAGGTAGATGGGATTCACCTGGGTTAAGACTGCTTTTAAGGGCGGCGTCACGGGGACGCGAGCAGCAGCAGCAGAAGCCCAAAGAGAAGAAGCCCGAAGCAGAAGCAGAGAACTCCAGAGAGCCCAGATAGAGTAAAGATTTGCTGGGGGCTGGGAGGACTGCCAGCCTCCCAGCCCCCCAGCACCCCTGCCTGCCATGTGCCTGGTGAACCCCAATAAAACCTGCAAAACCACTGAGGACTCTGACTCCTCCTTTACCCGGTCTGCATGGGATCAGAAAACCTGAACCGTGTCCAGTTCCTGCCCTTACACACAGCTACCCAACTCTGCCCTGGTAACCAATGAATGGATGTGCTCTTGTTCCAATAAATCTTTATTCACAAAACAGGTGGCAGGTAGATGGTTTGCTGACCCCTGTTCTCTGGAAGCAACTCATGTCTTGTGTTCTGCTGAGCACTCTGGTGTGGGCTCCCTTCTGGATGAGCCTCGGGAGCCCAGATCTGACCCCATTTGGAGAGACTGAGGTCCTAAAAGGGCCGGGATGGCTCCCAAGGGTGTGGATGCCTGAGTGTGGCTCCCCTTTTCTGTCCTAGAGAGGCTGTTGAAAAGGCTCCTCTCTCCAGCATTACTGGAGCCTCATTACTCACAGGCTGGAAAACAATGTTAATTTCCCCCAAGCGAGAAGCAGCTGCACTTGTAAGCCAGGGCTCATTTTGCTGCATGAATATTTATGGCATGTCCCCTAATTAAGCCCAGAAATAAAATTTATCCTGCTCTCGGGGGCCACGGAAGACTCTAAGGCCATGTCAGGAGCCAGCCATTGTGCATGTGAAGTAGGGTTGGCAACAAAACACTTGTGTCCAGAGTCACTGGGCCAGTGTGCACAGGAACGGCGGGCTGGGCATTCCCTGGAAGGTCAAGAACTGGGGCTGGTCACGTGGGCCACTAGTTAGCCTGGACCTGCATGGGTGACACGGAGGTGATGGGAGGCCAGGGTTCTAGCCATCCTGATTTTCTTTCAGCCAGGATGGTTCAGATATTTCATAACTGGGCTTCAAAGGCCGTGACAGTGGCACCAGCTCAGAGGGAGGACCTCAGCTGAGAAATGGGTTTGAGTTCCCTCTCTGGTGCTGACTCTATGGCCTGGATGGACCTAGCAGCTTTCCAGCCTCAGTTTCCCTATTGTTACTGGGGTGGCAGGGTCATCAGCATCATGGAGAGTGGTTCCTGGTGGGAGAGAAAGTGATTTGGTAATTGTTCTTATCAAGGGTCTGGGGTTTCCTTGACCTCCAGACCCTCCCGCTCTTAAACCTGGAAAACCGGCTCTGCCCAGCCCAACAACTTTGAGGGTTTCCAGAAACCATAAATCTTGGCTTTTTCTTGAGGGGTTCTGTCTCCAGAGAACTCTTTGGGCCCTTGTATTCTCTTCTTGGAGCCAATAAACCAAGCAAATACCATAAAATCCTTGACCCCGGCTTGAGCCCTGAGTCAGCCCTGGGATAAAGAGCGAGAGAGTCAGGACGCAAACATCAAGTTGAACTTGGAGCTTCTCCGTCCCTTTCTGGAATGGGCTTGCTCTTTGTTTTTCTATTTTTGATTGTTTCCTCTTTAAACTCACAGCAGCAAGAGGTCCCCTCTGCTCCTGGCCCCACCTGGGGGGCTGGGGGTGCTTTCCCAAGGTGGGGCCAGGTGTGTAATCTTCCCAGCCCTTGGCAAGTGCACACCTTGTGAATTCAAAAGTCAACAAGATGTGGAAGTGGGTGATCCTTAGGTTGTAGAGGACAAGTGTGGGGGTGTTAGGGTGGCTCATGCCCCCTGCTGGGCCTGCCCCATCCCCTGGAGCCCTGGGACTTCCTGTCTTGTTCTCTACCTCCATCCTGAGCTCCCATCTGATCAGAGCAGCCTGGACAGGAGAGTTTCCTGAGCCCATTTTTCACGCTACCCACCACAGAAAGGAGGGCTGAAAATAGTGGAGTGGGTCTTTCTAGGCCAGCGCCAGGGCAGATGTGGGGGCAGTAAGCTGGCTGGGCTCAGGAGACCTGGGTGCGTTCACCTGGGCTGGGCCCACACCCTGGTCACATTGAGCCCAGATCCCAGCCACAAATTGTTACCTTCCCATCTAACCCAGGGGTCCCCAGGAGGCAAGGAAGGTCACAGCCTCTGAGACACATCTCCACTATGGAACCACTTGCTGTGCTTTTATTATATCCAGGATACAATTTTCATGGAAGATGCTGGGCTCTTGCTGGTCTGGAGGTTTGATCAAGGGGCATCTCAACACCTTGGCAGAGGTGTGATTTGGGGGAAAGTCGCTTCACTTCTTGGTTTGTTTCCTCATCTGTAGAATGGGGATCATAGCCCCCCAACCCCGCCTGTTCCCTCGGCTTTTTAGGGTGAATGAGATACTTATTCAGAAGGTGCTTTGTTAGCTGGATGTGTTTATGAAAAAAATAAGTGTTGAAATTTTACCTGATTTTTTAATTTTTGATTTTACTCTCCTTTCAGAATCTGGTGTCCTCCAGAGACTTAGGCCTAATAGCAAGTTTCTCCTGGACTAAGGACCAAGGAGAGGCAAGGAGTTCTGCCAGGATCCTTGGTGGGCCCAGAAACTTGGAGCTAGCGTTCCATGGCTGAGAACTCTGTCCTTATTTGGGTCCATGCTTGATGACTGGCACTGGCACCCACACAAGTGACACCTCAGTGAGTCTTGGGTGGAAGAGAGGCTCAAAGTGAACTCAAGGGACCTGAGTACCTAGGCTGGGGCTCGGCCTTCCCACAGACACCCTCAATCTCTTCCTAAAAGGGTCTAGGAGGCTCTGGCAGGTGTTTGGATACCCAGGTCCCTACCCTAAACACTGTTCTGATTTCTACCAGCTCCTGTGTCTAGGGAAGGAAATGTAACCCACGTACTTTTGATGCATTTGTATTAAAGCCCTTCCTTTATAAGGGCTTTCTAGAGCCAGAGCTTTATAAGGGGTCTCAGCTTGTGTGTCCTGTGGGGGAGCCTCAGCCGTCTTTTGATGGCCTTTTCTTCCTCGCAGGGAAAACAGGAAATCAGACTGTACCAGGAACAACTGAACCTAAAACCTTTTGTACTTGCTTGCCCCTCTGGCCTGCTCACAGTTGGAACTGTTGTCTCAGAAGTGCTGCAAACCTTATTTCTGACAGTGGAAGTGCTTGATGGTTTTCTCTAAATTAGGTTGAGGGCAGGCATCTCCCAGCACCCCATTGGGCAGGACTGTGAGCACATCAGTTCCCCACCTGCCTGTGTTCCCTCTTCGACTACTTTTTCCTGCTGCTCCAGAAATTTCAACCATTCTTGGAGACCCAGCTCCAGCCCAGTTTCTCGTCTTGCCTTGGTCATCCTGCATGAAACAATTTCAGCTCAGGATTTGGCACCGAGTGACATTAGCAAATATTAAATGAGTGAGTGGATGAATGCATGGGCAGCAGAAGCTGGAAGCATTTATCTCTGTATTCTTTCCTGTTCTAAATGGGCCAGATTTTCATACCTGTAGAGGTTTCAGAGGCCCAAAGCACTGAATGTTGGGTGAATACTGGCACAGTCCCCGTTCCCAGGCACATCCCGTGGGCAGGCACCCGGTGGGGGTGGGGTGAGATCTCTGCCTGCAGGCCTTGCTGTTCAGCTGAGAAGTGGGGCTCACACACCCTACTAGTTTAGTTACTGTTGTGATTACATGCCATGAGAGGGGAAAATTAGTTATTAAATAAGGGGAAGAGTGAGGAATGAATGAAGACGGGAATTAGCAAACAGATGGGAATGAGTATATAAATGAAGATCAGGGAGAATAAATGGAGGCAGGAATGATGGATGAAGATGAATTTCCTTGAGGGAAAGAATCCTTGCCATGTGCCCAGGGTTCCTGGCTGCAAGGCCTAGAGAAGCCAGTATTGTTTGGAATCTGCCCCCTTCTGCTTCCCTAGGCACAGGACCCGCTGCACCCTGAGGTCCCCAGCAGTGCCTGAATTACCACCTGAGATAACTGAACGCTGAAAGTCATGAGGCCTTGAAGACCTTCATGTGTAGAAGCTCAGAACCTGCCAGTTCTGATGTTTTGCTCAGCACATGGAAGGGACCTTCTGGAATGGAGAGAAGGAATATTCCCTCAGTGAGAAATCAGGCTCAGGAGGGCTTGCCAAGGCTGTCCACCGCAGGCCTCTGACTTCAGATGCCTCAGGAGTCTGCCAGGACTGACAAGGGCCCTTATGAAATCCAGCCCTTGTTTATCTCCACCCCCCTTTTCTAATCCTCTTCTCCAGGCTTCCTCTGGGTATCTGCAGAGGGAGCCCTCACCTATGGCCTTCTCTGGAAAGTTGTCCTCTATCCTCCTGTGGCCACTATATAATTCTTAATTTAGGTAATTTCTCCTAGGATATAAACTCCAGGAAGGCAGATTTTGTGCTGCTTTGCTCACTGCTGTACCCAGCAGCTGGCTTTGGGCCTGCCCACTAT